ATATATGCACTAAAACATAGGCACGACTTAAGTCCACGCTGGACTTGCGTCATCTCCTCGACTCATCATTTTAACAAGCTGCAGTGATGGTTGATTTACCAGAAGCAAGTTTGTGTGGTTTCAACTCATGATTTGGAGCTGCGTTTGGACTGCTGTCCTGGGCTGGCGCCGTCCTCAGCCTGACTCGGCCTGGGCGATGCTGGAGCCGAGGCTCCGGCCTCTGGTGCTTGGAGCGAGGCCTCTGGCGAGGCCTTTTGTGAGGCCTGACTCTCTGAGCTCTGTGAAACTGCTCGTGAACCTGCGCCTCCCGCCACATCCTCTGGTCTCAGCGACCCTTTGGGCGACCCGCCGATCGCGTCCGACGCCCTGCGCCCCCTCGGCGAGGCACCTCCCGGCGCCTCCGAGGATGCCCTCCTGGAGCCAGCGGGGAGCCCGGCCACACTGGCCTTTCTCCCGGCAGCGCCGTCCTCGGCCATGCCCATGTCGGCCTGGTCCAGCGGCGTGGGCATGTTCTCTGAAGCCTGTGCCATCTGCTGGATCTCCTAGGAAACGGGCCAGGTTGAATGAGATGAGGTGCGTGGGTGGTGGGGTGACGCGTGTCACGTGAAAGGGGATGAAGCGTCACCTACTTTGTTGACGATGGCAAAGAAGTCCCTCTCCGCTTGTGCTCGGAACTCGGCGCTCTGGTTCGTCTTGGGCCCCTTGACGGCCGTCTCGCTGCCGTGCACCTTCGCCTTCAACCTCTGCTCGCGGCTCTTGCCCTCCAGGATGCGTTCCCTCCTGCTCTCCCGCTCGAACATCTGCCGACCGTCTGTCCGTGAGCGAACAGCCCCAGCACCCGCACACCCCAGTTCCAGTCACCGCGCTCGCTTACGTGCGTCAGCAGGGTCTTGTCGTTCTTGTTGGTGACGGCGAGGTTCTCGGAGAACTCTATCAGGCACACGTTGCCCTTGTCGTTGCCGATGGCCGCAAGCTGGCCCACCTCGTGCACCCGCATGCAGCGCAGCGCCTCGTCGCACACCTTGATGCTGAGGCACGGCTCACGCTGCTGCTGCAGGATGTCCCACACGTCCAGGACGCCGTCCATGCGCGTCGTGAAGAACACGGACAGCTTGGTGGGGCTCCAGCAGCCATCCGTGAGCAGGGCGGGGTGGTAGCTGTGAGAGCAGGTGCCAGGGTGGCCCACGGACCCCGTAAGTACTCTGTCGCCTACAGGCACGGTGTCTCCCTCCACCGTGCCTACAGGCGTGCCGGCTGGTTTGCCTACCGTTGTCGGTAATATAGTGGCGCCTTACGGCTCTGAGCGAGTAGGCAACCCGCTCGCACTCCTGCATGCGGTGCAGTATAGCTACAAAATGTCCCGTGTATCGGGCGTAACTGTGAATAAGCAGTAGTGTTGCGGGATGACATACTCAATATGGCCGCAGGGGCCATGCCCCCTTACGGGTGTAAAGAGTAGCAAATCCGCAACACCGCTGCGTATTAACAGTTACACCCGGTACCCCGTACCGGCTGTTTCTTTGAATGCGCTCCAGTGTTTTGGGATTGCATACTCATTAGGGTCGGAGCCATGGCGCCTTACGGACGAAGGGAGTAGGCAAACCCACAACCCTGGAGCGTATGCCAAGATCCGCCCGGTACATGGCCTAGCCAGCCTGCGTCGAGCAGGTGTTACCTCGTCCACATGATGGCGCTCTCCCTGCAGTCCTCGGACCAGATCCTAGCCGTCCAGTCGCCCACGGACAGGAAGTTCTTGATGAAGCCCGGGTTCCGCTGCAGGGCCACGACCGGCCCCGGGTGCGCCTTGAACTGCATGGACATCTTCTCGGCGGGCGTCTTGCCCTTGCGGTTGCAGGCCAGCACCATGCCGTTCTCCGTGCCCACCATGAAGCGGGTCGGGATGGTGGGCTCGTACTCCAGGCTGGAGGCGCCCATCGCCCGGGACAGCAGCTGCTCGTCCTTGTTGGCGTCGAGCACGAGCGTCTCGAGGGGCTCCTCCATCTTGCGCGTGTCCCACCACTTGACCTGCCCGTCCATCGACGAGGAGAAGAACTCGGTGCCCGACTTGGAGTTGATCCAGATGCAGTTGTGCACGGGGTCCCGGTGGCTCGTCTCCAGCACGGAGACGTCGACGGGCTCGGCGCCGCGACGCGTGTCCCAGCAGGCCACCTGGCCGCTCAGCAGCCCGCTCACCAGGCTGTGGGGGTCCTTGGGGCTGTACTCCAGGCAGGACATGGCCACCGGCCATTGGAATGTGTGCTCCGGTTTGTTGGGGTTCTCTGCGTGAGCAACGGATGGGGTGCGTGTAGAACCGTGCGGCGTCTAGGCTGGTATCGCACCATAAAGTAAAACGCATGAGGGGAATGTTCGCTCACCGACTTCCCAGATGTACGACGCCGTACTCAGGTCAGATGGCGCACGCTGAAAGTCGAAATTGCAGTGCGTGACTGCGATGCGCGAGCCGCCGTCAGGCGACCAGGACACGTGCGTGACGGGCCGCTTGATGGGGCAGGGGTCGCGGTACATGTTGACGGTGCGCGCGGACGACTTGTCCACGAGGCAGCCCGACTCCAGGTCGTCGAAGTACATCTCGTAGATGTTGAATGCGTTGTTTTGCAGGATGCAGAACTCCATCGACTGCCGGACAAACAGGTATCAGGTGGGATGCACTATCGCGACATGTGCCCGGCGAAGGGTAGCGGGGTGGGTACCGTACGTTGGAGAGCTGCAAAACGGTGTTGATGTAACTGTCGTCCTTCTCGACCTTCTTGCGGAACCTCTGGGTTTGCTCCAGGTCGGCGATGTTGATGTCCCGGGGCCAGCCACCCTCAGTGTGGTTGCAGCCGTGCTGTGTGTACTCGGCCCGGACGGTGTTGACCTGCACCAAAGCGAAAGCATATAGTCACCCTCCCGTAGGGGACATTGGGTTTGGGAGCTGTGTGGCTACACTACTTGCCTCATGTTCCGCATATTCTCTGCTGAGTTGAGTCCCTCTGTGAACGGGATTCTCCAGGACATACTGATTTAGGAGGTCCTTGTTTGGAGCGATGTTTTCGAGAAGCTTTGTGCCGCTTTCGGCAAATAAACATTGGCGACCAAATTCGCTTCTCTTTTTGGTATACACATATTCTACTTCCATTTTTAATAATCATAAACTGAAAATGATAAAAATCAATTATTCCACTTGTTCTTTACTATGCAATGTAAATGAAACACTATCTAAGGTTCAACTTTATGTTTTTCATTCAACCTATTCACTTACGTCCTGTGCAATGTTCACAAATTGATTTATTTCGTTTGATGTCCTAAATAATGTCTTTCAGACGGTTTGTCGCCATGACACCGACATTTTAAAACTTAAACAGGCTATCGTATGCATCAATGAATCATTCTTTCATTCAAGGTAAACCGTTTGTTTTGGTCGGACAGATGCGCACAGCCCCCGTCCCGTGGCCCGTTGCCCGTATTGACCTACGGGTAAAGCGGGAATACGGGTGGGTAGTTGCCATGGGAACCATAGGGAAGCGCACTGGTCATGACAAAATAAAAACGTTGGCAGGCCTGCGCTGTTGGCGCTGCATCTATACAGTGAAGGTTGTTAGTCAAACCTGTGGAATAAAGGTATATTCATTGTGTGATTGCAAATTTTGTTTGTAAATTTCATCATTTCATACTGCCCTCAAACAATTAAATGGATGTTGCCTTTAGGAACGTCCAGTAAGTACGTGCTTTCGTCGGATTCATTTCGAAAATCGCGGCATAGGTCACCCCGCTGTGCGCACATACACTGCAGGGAAGATGTTGCCTACGTATCAGGCGCCACTAGGGCTTGCATTGGGTAATGACTGACGTACTTTCGTGATGATCCCTTTCCACCACAAATTATATTGTGGGCGTCGCGTCGACATTCTTCCCTTCCCTCCCCTCCCCCCGCTCCTCTCATTCAGCCGCCGTGGTTGCTCAGATTTTTTCAGCAAAAAAAGAAAGAAAAACAATTCCTCCTAAAATTACAATGTCTTGAAGCAGCTTCTAGCAGGAGGAAGTTTCCAAACATAAATGGATAAAAAGGCGCCGATCTCGTATTGCGCGCTAAGTATCCACTAAATGTAAACAGCAGTGTACTAGTACAAATAGCGCGTCGCGCAATCACATCGGCGACCCCTCTGTCCCGAATGGCTCCCTGCCCCGGGGACGGCCGCGCTGACCTCACTCCCGGCCCTCTCGGCCACACCGGCGCCACCACCTCTCTCAAGCCCTATACCCCCGCCCGAGGATCGGTAATGGAAACGATTGTGATACATCAAGGAGGACGGTAACGCAAACGCGCCCTTTGCGCAGCGGTTATCCAGAGCGTCGCGCGGGCTGAGCGAAGCTTAGGGTCCTCATGTAGCCAGCCGCAAGGGAAGCGGTGAGCGATTTCAGATAGGGGGCATCGAAATACAAACACACACACACACACATGACGGACGAGCCCGATGCTTAGGCCCGATGTGTGTTGGACGCGGCCGATTGCGGCCGTCACGTGGTCGCTGTCAATTGCTACGCGCCGCCCCGCCCCCCGCCGCGCCCCCCTCCGCTTGGACCAACGCCCGCCGTGGCCCGGCGCGACGACCGCGCGCGCGCTCGCCCCTCTCATATCCACAGCGAAGCGTCGCTCTCTCGCTCAGTCCGCTCCCGTCATCACTCGCAGCCACTCATCTACCGAGGAGAGACCCGCCCGGATCGTCGCCGCACCCAAAGGTAGGCGTAAAGCGTGCAGTGTGCCGCCGAATCACGCCGCCCATAACCCGGCCCGCCCCGCCCCCCGCGCCAGAAGAAAACAAAAGGGCGGGAACTTGTGGGGGGAGAAAATTGACGTAGTAGCGGTGTGTTGTCTCACTGGCGCCTGTCGCGTCCGAAACACTCGGGTGTCGGGGAGTGCTGCGTTCGAAAGTCGCGGAGTGGCGTTTCGCAGTTCGTGATGCCCCACGTGCCGCATCGCATACATGTGCGGCTAGAGCGTTGTTGTGCCGCGCATTGCATTTGTTTCTGATTACCTCGCTCCCCCCAAGGTCTCCACAAAGCGAGCGTGCGCCGAGAGGTGTCGGCCGGCGCGTTTCAGTTGCCGAAAGGGAAAACAGGAAGTCCGCGCCCGCGCAGGGGGGCAGGATGGTGGAGGG